TTGTATCTTCTTCAATAAATGTCTCTACTTTTCACATCTCATGCCTGGATATCTTCTACATGGACTAATTAAAAATTAAAAATTAGTCTATGATAAAAATTTGCAAGCATTTCACAATATTTACTAAGCACCCACTATGTGCTAGGTACTCCTGCAGGTGCCGAGGGAAAGAGTCCAACAGACATGCACTCACTATAGCTACTGCTGTCATAAAGGACAACTATGCTGCTATCTTTGGATCATATGTCAGTGCATCTTCAACATAAGATTCACAGAATCTTTCAAACATTTCAATATATCTGCATAATTTTTTCAGTTAGAGAACTAAAAGTATTAAAACCTGGATAAATATGTTCTTAATTAAACAAACAAACAAACAAGCAAACAAAACCCCTGGCTGGTGTGGCTCAGTGGACTGAGCATCAGCCTGTGAACCAAAGAGTCACTGGATTGATTCCCAGTCAGGGCTCATGCCTGGGTTGCAGGCCAGGTTGGAGGTGGATGGCACGCGAGTCCAACCACATATTGATGTTTCTTTCCCTGTCTTTCTCCCTTTTCCTCTCTCTGAAAATAAATCTTTTAGAAAAGTAAAAGTATTAAAACAAATTTAAATATGTGTAATTTAGCCCTGACTGGTGTGGCTCAATTAGTTGGCTGCCATGCTCTGCAAAGCACAAATCACAGGTTTGATGCCAGTCAGGGCACATGCCTGGGTTGTGGGCTGGTCCTCAGTTGGGGCCTGTGTGAGAAGCAACTAATCTATGTTTGTCTCTGTCTCTTTCTGTTCTTTTCCCCTCTACAATAAATACATTCATTAATTAATAAAATCTTAAATGTTTAACTGATTTGTAAAAGAGGATCTTGAAGTAATGATGAAGAAATGATCCTTAGTATATTTAAAATGGAACTTTTTGATGAAAAATGTCTAAAACACTAATCAAAAAATAATATGGGGTGATGGAACTGTGGTTTGAATTACTTTATCTGCCCCTCCATGTTCTATAATGAGGCCTGAATGACTGCCATAACTGAAGTACATAGACATAATGGACCAACAAACACCAAATGAGTGGGGGAAAGGCACTGTGGACCCAATTTAGAGAAGCCGAAATACATGTTGCTAAGCAACCTAGGTGGCAACCTAGAAGAAAAAGCTATTTCAAAAAGCAAAGCGATTCTGTGTGTGCAATCCAAGTTTTCACCGGGAACCTGCTGAAAAAACAAGAGCCAAAGTAGCTGCTGGGGCTGCACAGGCCACAGCATAAGCACTAGTGGGGAAAAGAATCGGTCCCCCCCCCCTCCCCCAGCACGAAGGGCGAAGGGCGGGGGTAGAGCTTGTCTGGTGCTTGCACAATGCACCACTGCCCTCTACTGCCCAGAGAAACAGAAGACTACACACTGAATGGAAGTTGTGTCTTTTCCTCTGAGGCTGCATGCAGAGTCTGAGACCCCAGTGGCTGCTGGAGTCAAGTGGGGTGATGATTCCTATCGGCAAATGGGACAGAACCTGTCCAAAAGGCTCCAGTAAGGCATCTTCGCCTCTTCCCAAGAGCTACCCTAGGGAACCTACAACAGGAGCCGGAAGTCCAGGCTAGGAGGAAGGTTGCTTCCCCGAAGCTGGTGCTGTCCTCCCTGGGATTGGCGGGTTTTGGGCATGCGCACTGGAGCCTTGGGACTCTGGGTCGCAGTCTCCCTACCATCTCCGTGGGAGTGTCTCCGCAGGTTTAGTCCCAGTTGTGGCTACAAACTATCACCTGAGGGACAGAAACCCTGTAGCCCTGGTGGTGCCCGGCAGCTGACAGTTTGGAAAAGGGTCCCTGAGGGGACTGCTGAGTCAAACAGGCTCGGACACTGGCTGTGCCCTCACTTTTCTTCCTTCCTTAGTCCTAGAGCTAACCACTGGCGGGGCAGCTGCAGTCTTCTGGGGCGGGCTCTGAGACCCGGGACTTCTGCTAAGGTTGCTATGGCTCCGAGGGCGGGACTAAGGAAGAGGTGGTGCTAGGGTTGTGGGTCCGGGGTTCCTTGGGCTCCTCTCTGCCTCTTCTGACCAACGCTGGCTGTCATCGGGTGTGGGGTCAGGGGAACTCTTCTCTTGTGTTTTTGTGCTTGTTTTACCTTTAAAAACGGGAAAAACGGGCACTGCCTGCCAAGAATGACGGCGCCGAGTTTCTGTGGTCGGCAGGTGGCACTGTGGAGCCAAGAGCGCTTCTCTCCCCCCCCCCACCCCGCCCCCGCCCCCTGTGGTTGGAAAAAGTGCTTGGAGCCATTTCCCAGACCATTTCCCGGATATTTGGTCAATGGTCTCGGCCGCTGAGCTGGCGGGCCCCTTCCTTCCAGTGGCTGAACTGCTCCATTCTTTGAAGTCCCGACTGAAAACTGGGTGCCTTGGATCATTGGTATCTTCTATTTCTGATTCTGTGAACTGTCTTCCCATTGTCTTTTATCAGCATACTTTTCAGTTACCCAGTCACTCAAACCTCAGTGTAGACAGTTTGGAGGACTGATTTTAAAAAAGGTGATGTAAACCACCCTTTGGTCACCCTCCCATGACCATTATTAGTGTGTGATACATTTCCTGGTTGGTCTTCCAGGCCCGTAAAGGTGCACTGCACACACAAAGAGATTCATCTTGCAGTGTGACTTCAACTTCTTTTATTAGAACCTCAGGTTTTTAGTGTGAAGTAGCTGTTGTAAAAATCATTTGGAAGGACTTGAATGATTTTCATTCATTTCTTTTTAATAGTATATACAGTTTTAAAGAGTATAAGTATTATATAGTTGGTGAATAGAAAAATAACCTGCCCAAGAGGCCCCAGCAAGGCCACTTCTCCCGTGCTGCCCTCCCTAGTATTGTTGGGTTCTAGACATGTGCATTGGAGTCCTGTGCCTTCTCTGCCAATCTCCCTCCCAGTATCACTGCAGTGTTAGTCCCAGATTGGGCTGCAAACTATTATGTCGGAGGGGGGCCAGTGATATACATTGTTGTTGGATTTCCCCAGTTGACCCGCCCAAGGCACTGTATTTATCTCCTCTTCATCCTCCTCCCAACTCCATCCCCACCGCACCCCACCCCCAAACCTGAATAAGCTCTTCCAGTGAGGCATTCTCAGGTGATCCTCACTCTTTGGAACCATTCAGGCGACCTCTGGGCCCACAAGCCTCAGCTGGTCAACAGGGAGCCTCCACCTCCTCAAGGATATGCCTCTCTTCCTCTGGACCCTGCACCACCATGCCCAAGTTCTTGCCTGGGCACCAGGGGCACATGGGCTCCACCCTGATCTATGTTCTCTCTGATCTAAGTTCGTAGTATTTTCCTCTATCACCTCAAAACCACAGCCCACTCTTCAGCACCCTCCCTCTAATGCCTCCCCTTAGACAACCTTGAAGCTCATGGGGCCTCTGGTGTGGACCCCATAGCCTTCCTCAATCCACCAGGGCTATGAACTGCCCCTCTAACATACTGCTCTTATTCCTTTCTACCCTTTCCATACTCTCGTGCTGTTCACCAGTAAGAGGCCTATCTCTGCCTATATCAGATCACTGGAACATGGGTGACAATTTAAGCTTTCTTTAATTTCCTTAAATCCCTAACTAGAAGAGCATTGATTCTCACTTTCACCTTCCTCCTACCAACACCATTGCCTTCCTCATGAGCTACCCTCTGGCAATCCAATGAGCTTTCCTAGGAACATATGCGGAACACAGAAGCACTGAGGTAGGGGCTCCCCCGGGCTTCCCAAACCCAATGGACCTGTTTCTCCTCTGACATTCCCTGCTGGCCCTGGGCGTGCCCCCTGGTGTCTGCAGCCAGCCCTCACCTGTGCTCAGCATCCCTCTCCTTCCACCTGCTCAGGGACTGTGCTCCTGCACTTAGCAGTCCTCTCCTGAAATATCTCCTGCTCTTTGCAACACGGGACTGTCCCACACCAAATGGGGGACACCCAACCCCTTGCACATAGAGTCTTGCTCCTCAGTCCCCTTCAACAAGGCTTTTTTTTAAAAAAAAGATTTTATTTATTTATATTTAGAGAGGGGGGACGGGAGAAAGAGAGGGAGAGAAACATCAATGTGCGGTTGCCTCTCGTGCACCCCCCAGCTGGGGATGTGGCCAGCAACCCAGGCATAAGTCCTGAATAGGCATCGAACCCGTGACCCCCTTAGTTCACAGGCCAGCAATCCACTGAGCCACACCAGCCAGGGCCAATAAGGCTTTTGCCCCTGTCACACCTGCAACTGGTCTACTCAAGGCTACCAACATTAATATCCAGATTTTCTGATCCTACCATGAATGTTTTATGCTCTTCATAGATAACAGCTCTGGTACCTCTGGCACATCTACCAAGTCCATTTTCTATCCCTGTATGTCTTTATCCATTTCAAAGAACAAAGAGTTATGTGACAATGTAACCCTTCTGGTTACCTCTGCATCCCTCTTCAGTGAGGGGTCAGGAGAGAGGAGGAATGATGAGCACAGGAGCAAAGTGCCTGAGTGGGTGGTGGCCATGGGATCCTGAGCACAGGTGAGGGCTGGCTGCAGTCAGGAGCAGGTATGCCCAGGGTCAGTAGAGAATGTCAGGGTAAAAACAGGTCCGTTGGACTTGTGAAGCAGAGGGTAGCCCTACCTCAGTGCTTCTGTGTTTTCACATACAGGCAGGCTTGTGTCCCTTACTGGACCACAGCAGGAGAGTATATATAGAGGTGGGGGAGGTGGGGGGGGTCAGGATGAGAGGGGAGGAAGTAGCCAGAGAGATGTTAGAAGTGGTGTTTATATTCCTGGGTAGGCTGGATAAGGAGGGGCCTGGTGGATGCTGAAGAAGACTGTGGGATCCTCACTGGAGGTCCCTAAAGGTTCTGGCTCTCTAAGCAGAGGCATCAGAGGAAGTGATCTGGTAGACCAGGGCAGGGTGTTCATTCACAGGTGATCAGAGAAGAAATGCTAGAAAGGATCATCATGGAGGGGCGCTGGGTTTCCTGATGCCCAGGGCATAGCTATGGGTAGGGGGGGACATACTGTGGGGAGAAGAACCTCCTTGAAGATCCAGAGTCTCTGGGTTGACAGGGCCAGGCTCCTGGACCTTGAGGTTACCTGTAGGGTTCGGAGGAATGAGGGCTGAGAGGAGGATGGGGTGTGTGACATTGTATGAGCTCTTGCAGAGATGGGGGGTGGGGGGCGGGTAGGAGTGGGGGAAAGAGGATGGCGAGAGTATTGGTAAAAGTCCCACAGGTGTGGTGGTGGGGCGGCTGGGGCAGTTGGGTCACAGGAGCACATCATTGGCCCAGCCCTTCGGCTTTAGGTTCTGAGGTGGTCTGCAAGAAAACCTGTAGTATATGCTACCTGGGAGACCGGCAGTGAACTCACTGAGACCTGTGCACTTACCAAGAAGTGGCCAATCAGCGCGCAGTCCTGTCTTCTGGAGCTTCCCTTTTTGGGGGCCGGGACTTCCTGTTAGTGTCTAATTCCGAGGGCGGGACTATGAAATCGGCCCCATCTGAGTTGAGCCGGTTTGTAACTTCCAGTTCCACTAGTGTCAGCCAGGGCTCTGCAGGGAAAGTGGTAAAAAAGATGCTTTTGTTCTGCAATCCGCGGGGCATTCGGTTTCTTTGGTCAGCAGGGGGCAATGTTGTACCATGCAGTGATCTGCTAACCTCTCCTCCGCCCAACCTCCCTAAAAAAAATTTAATCGGAACTCACCAGACAAGTCCTGTGGACAAAATGGCCAGTCCCATCCTAGGGCTTAGTTGCTCCCTTTGGTGGCAATGGCTACTAAAAATATAGGGCCGGGTCCGGTAATTTGTATTTCTCCCCTCTGAATGGGCTTCATTGGCTTTTCTCCAAGTTGTTTGTTTTTGAGCTTTTATTTACTTATTTTTAGAGAGGGGAAGGGAGGGAGGAAGAGAGGGAGAGAAACATCAATGTGTGGTTGCCTCTGTGTCTCCTAGTGAGGACCTGGCCTGCAACCAAGGTAAGTGCCCTAGACTGGGAATTGAGCAGGTGACCCTTTGGTTTGAAGGTTGGCACTCAATCCACTGAACCACACTAGCTAGGGCTCTCCAAGTTGTTTTGATCCTTCATGAAGGTATTCTTCAGATATGTTAGGCACTCAAACTTCTCACTTCAGAAAAATTTAGAGCTGATTAAACATAATAATCTAAACCACAGTCCCATCACCCACCAATGACCATGAATAATATTTCGTGATGAATATTCTTAGATGTTTTCATACTTTAAGGAGCTGTGTAAACACAATGACACTCATGTGCCATTCTCACTTCAACATCTTTTATTAAACGAGATTTTTCAAATTACTTACTTAAGAACCATTTGAGAAGACTTGAATTTTTTATTCACTTCTCTCCCTAAAATTATACATAGTGTAAAAGAGTTAAAAATTATATTTAAGCACTGATACAGAAAGCGGAAATAACTGCTGAGCTCTAAATCTTCCCACAGACAGGGGCTGTATATATTTTTTGCTTCATTTTTTTTTTTTTATTTTGCTGACCATTGTATTTTCCAGATGTCAAGGAAACACCGCCCAAAGCAGTGTATTCTCCAATATATATATTTGAGTAAATGAGCAAGTGTCTGATTTCTTCCAGATTCTTTTCTTTGTAAATAAGTCATTGTTTCATAATACTGGGATCGTACTGTCATGAACCATTTCCTACATGGCTTTCCCCCTTTTTAGTACTTTATTGTGAGCGACCGCTATGCCATCACACGGCTTTGAAAAGTTTTGCTGTCTCCTTCACTCTCTTCCCCAGTTAGGCTTTTTATTTCATTCTCATGCTGGGGGGCAGGAAAGCATCCTGCAAGCCAGTGTGCAATGTGCAGTGTCTGACCAGATGTTGAGGCCCTTTCTGAGGAGCCCGGAGACCATAGACAAGGGACCCATGCTGTGTGCCACAGTTTCCACAGGTGTAAAATAAGGGCAGCAACAGAACCACAGAAATGGAGATCACATGGAGGGTTAGCAACAGGGGAGTGGGAGGAGGAGAGAGGGGGAAAAGATACAGAGAATAAGTAGCATAGACGGTAGGTAGAAAATAGGGGGAAGGCAAGAATAGTATGGGAAATGTAGAAGCTAAAGAAATTATGACACATGGACATGAACTAAAGTGGGGGAATGTGGGTGGGAGAGGGTGTGCAGGGCGGAGGGGAGTGAAGGGGGAAAATGGGAAAACTGTAATAGCATAATCAATTAAAAAAAAGAAAAAGAAAAAATGAGGGCAGTAACAGCTTCTGCTTCCTAGAGTGGTGGCCAGTATACATCACCCAGCAGGTCATCAGCTGGGCACTTGCAGATGTCATGTTCCAACTTTTGGTGCCATCTCCAATATTCCCTGCAGTGTTTGTAGTTGGTACAGGATTTTCAGCCACAAGACTGAGTGCAATAAAAGGCACTCTTTACATTTACTTACAGCAGATAGCTTTTCAACTCCCCACTTTGGCTTTTAGGGGGGAAAAAGTCACTAGTGATTTGGAGGAATTTCAATCAAGAAGATTTATATGAGGAAATGCTCTGGACTGTAGTCACTTGGGAAGACAGGGAAAAGTCCAAAGAAAAAGAGAGGAATCATCTCTGATCGAACCACTTTGAACACATTTTGCACATCACGTTCATTTTTACCTCCTTGTGATAGTTGCCTATCCAATATTGAATTCTCAAGTTTTTATGGTTGACATAAGGTAATTCATATATTTTCCTTCTCCTTGGCCCTCTCCAGAAACTCCAATCCTACTTCGGCCTCAGAGTCATCTGGTCTCACGTTGCTCCTTGATGTACGTCAGTGGGATAAAATCTATAACCCCTATTTGAGACACTGTAACATTTTTTTTATCCTTGACAGTATGGTACCTTGGCTGGGATGGGTCTGAAGTGTCACCGGACTCTGCTGAGGTTTCAGACAAGGGTTGAGCCACAGAGAATCTCTTCCTTCTTTGTCTCTTGGGGACCACCATCATGTTGAGAGCTGACTCCTGCTCCTGCATTCTGGTGTTTCACTGTAGCCTGAAACTTATAGGTTTGATTCTTAGAATAGCTGCCCTGGCTGGTGTGGCTCAGTGGATTGAGCACAGCCTGCAAACCAGAGGATCACCAGTTCAACTCCCAGTCAGGGCACATGCCTGGGTTATGAGCCAGGTGCCCAGTCGGGGGTATGCGTGAGAGGCAACCACACATTGATGTTTCTCTCCCTTTCTCCCTCCCTTCCCCTCTCTAAAAACAAACAAACAAACAAACAAACAAACAATCCTTTTTAAAAAAGAATAGGGTTAACCTAATGTCTGACTGAAGTCACAGTGTCTCTGTTCTTCCATCTTTAAGGGTTCTTCTGGCCCAGCACAGAATTCGATGATGGGTCTAAGATAGAACATTGCCCTTCTCCCCTCTTATAGCTCGAACCTCTTTTCCTACAGGAAACTCCCAATGTAGTCAGCCCCCCAATGGACCCCCACTGTGCACACGTTCCACCACAATGGTCCTGAGTGTTTCAATTCCTCTCTAACTGGAGTGACTTCAGGCAAGACAATCTTGATATCTTGAGAGTCCCTTTAGGGCTATCGAGACCTGGCAAAACTTGTGCACTGACTTGACCCCTTAAAACAGAAAAAAAAATAGCTAACTTATAATGGGTAGCTTTCTTTGAAGGGCAAGAAGCAACCAATCACAAAACGCAGGACTCAGGCAGACTCTCATCTCTGGAGGTCTCTCTGAAACAACTTTAGCCTTTTCCCTCCACAAAAACTGCCTCTGTCTCTCTAGCCGATCCTTATAACTCCACTTCTTTCTGGCTTCCCTCTTTCCTGATCTGTGCACTCCTGTCTGCCTCAGCTCCCTCTCACCTTTAGACCCAGACCTTCCCCTGCTCCCTCCCAAGAAGACCCTGACCCAAGTCCAAAACTTCAGAGTCAAAGATTTCCCAAATCCTCCAAAGAACAGAGAGAAGTGTATTCCCTGTTTCAGGGTAATTTGGTGTGATGGGGGGAGGTGCTGGGAGGGGAGCTTGTGCTCCTGAGACTCCTTTTCTGTATCTTTTAGCCCCCTTTTTAGGAGGACTTGCCAGGTGGGAGAACCTGGTTTCACAAAGCCAACTGCCCATCAGAAATGAGGATGTAGTTAATACTGACAAAAATTCACCCCAACCCTGCATATATAAAAGCCTTACAGATAGAAGACGTTGTTTTAAAGGCTAGCCCTGACTCTGTCCTCCCTCAGGCTTTACTGCTTTACTGGCAAAAATCCAGGCCCCCTTGACAGGGGTGGGATGAATCAGACTCTACCTAGAGACACTGACTAGAGACCACTGGGAGGACTCCCTCTCACTCCCTCTGCAAAACATCCATTCTCACTGGGGGTGAGAAGGAACTGTGTGAAGGAGCTCAGTGACTTGGAACCAACTCAGATGCCAGACTCTGTTAAGCTACAGAAGAAGTTCAACTCAATGCCGGAGATTTACATGCTCTCCTTCATGAAGTTGCACGACCCACCCATGATGTCGCCCAAGACACTGACAGCCTCCAGAAATGTGGGGAATGCAGAGGCTATTGTCCAACATAGAGTGGCATGAGACATCACGGTGGCACCCATGGAAGAATGTGTGCAGTTGTCAGTGATAAGTGCCACACATACTGAGGCCTTCATGATGCCCTTTTGGGAATCACGATATCTGTGAAGTCACCCAAATCATAACTGACAGAATGAATGACCTAGTCCTGACCTCTAGGGCCTATAGTCATCATTGGCTGACAGATAACAATCCTGCTCTCCCCCAAATAGATCTAACAGAGATGCAGTCCAGGGCATGCACCATTCACTGAGGGCCACTGATCACTTTCCTTTTGACTCTGATACCAATGCTACTTATCAAGGGGACACAGTGACAGTTAATCAAGCCCTGC